AGTATTCAGAAGTTTTATAATCACTCTTTCAAGGTCAAACTGCATTTGCATTTTCAGGTTCAGTGAGATCATTGTCGGTCTTCCCATCATCATCATGTTTCCAAAAGTTTTTGAAATCACAAGTGTGTTGCTGTGAAGAGATTTTTATCAGAATTTAGCTGGTCTGTCTAAATTAATTTCCTTCAAAGTATTTATTAATGTGCAGTATAGAACCTAATATCAATGTTCAGTTGTATAAATCGAAGAAGTCCTCTTTTAATATATGTCCGATTAAAAACAGCTTGAATTCACAATTGTGTTCCTGGTCATCATTCCTACCCAGTAATATTCTTTTGATAATGTTCTGTAATACCTCCAATTTTAGTCAGTTTTACAATCTTCTGCCACATGTTAATATATCATACGTCATCTTCCGTTTCTTCCAAATGCCACAGAAAATCTTTAATTCAGGCAACAAATGTAAAACAAATCTACTTTGCCGAACTTGTTCACGAGCGGACCTACATTTTGATGTCTGATATTGTTTGTACTGTTCATGGCTCATATTGAGTGTCCAATGTGTCCAGCGTGTGACTTTTAATAATACCATTAGATTGTGTTTGCACATTTTGTTTCACGATTAATGTTTTAGTGCTTACGCATCCATTTCTCATACAATCTCTGAAAAGTATTAGATGCACACACTACTATCCTGAGTCACTGGCAAGGTTTAAATGCACACCCTACTATCTTTGGTCACAGGCAAGGTCTCCTGTAAAGACCATGTTATTCACAGTCAATCAACTGCATGCAGTTTACAATGCAGTACTGCACATTTTTCATTTAAATCACATTGTTATTTTCTGTCACGCTTAATGCCTTGCTTTCATATGTGATGTTCTGCAATTGGTATCTAGAATATATAATCCACTTACATCTAACCCTCGATATGCCAATACTGCGGTAATCAATCATTCCTTTAGTGTATTAAATAAGCCAATTTGTACAAATTATCTATAAACCATTTATATTATGATGCAAGTTCCAAATATTGAGAGATTTTTTTAATTTCTTTTTTTTAATTTAATTAGAGCAGTGCTGAACCCATCCAATGATACCACAAATTCTAAATAACTAGTCTGCAATTGAAAGCATTACTTTGGATTTAACTACAACCCTGATTCACGAATGATGCATTCACCATCTTGTTATCGCCACATACAATTTATCGATGGACACAGTGTTCATTTACATAGTCAAACTAAACATTAGTTATTGGGAAGTAAAATGCCCTCATAATCCAGCCCGCTTTAAAAAAAGTCTAAATATGTCGAATATTTGGCCGGGAAAGTGGGTTGTTATTTCCATAGAAATGTCATCAGAATTATAAATAGCAGATTCATATGAAACAACTCACTCTTTACTAATAGTTTTGAAACTCATAGAAGTATTATACTACTGTTGGCATGTGATCTGTGAAAAGCCTGTTTGATGAAGTCGAATTAAATGAACAAGAAAAAAAACAAGTTTCATTATTGAAATGTACATTATTCTGCTGACTCGTTTTGGCCTCGCTTATTTTAACATATGCTACCATAGTAACAATAAAACTCAACCATTCATTCTAAAATTAGTCAATTGAGAAAGGATTAATGAGTCTTATATTATTGAAATTATATTCTTACAGTGCATATCGCATGACACTTGATGAGTTTGTCTGATTTG